ACAAACAAGATATGCTTTAACTGCAGACTGTCAGCTTTAATTTGAGGGTATTTACATCCAAATCAGGTGAACGGTGTAGGAATTACAACAGTTTGCATATGTGCCTCCCACTTGTTAAGGGACCAAAAGTAATGGGACAGAATAATCATAAATCAAACTTTCACTTTTTAATACTTGGTTGCAAATCCTTTGCAGTCAATTACAGCCTGAAGTCTGGAATGCATTTATTTATGGAACGTATTTATTGATGATGCGACTGCTGACAAAAGCAGCAGGATGAATTCTGAAGTGTTTCGGGAATATTATCTGCTCATATTCAGCCAAATGCTTCAGAACTCATTGGACGCCTCACAGTGCAGATGGACAATGACCCAAAGCATACTGCAAAAGCAACCAAAGAGTTTTTTAAGGGAAAGAAGTGGAATGTTATGCAATGGCCAAGTCAATCACCTGACCTGAATCCGATTGAGCATGCATTTCACTTGCTGAAGACAAAACTGAAGGGAAAATGCCCCAAGAACAAGCAGGAACTGAAGACCGTTGCAGTAGAGGCCTGGCAGAGCATCACCAGGGATGAAACCCAGCGTCTGGTGATGTCTATGCGTTCCAGACTTCAGGCTGTAATTGACTGCAAAGGATTTGCAACCAAGTATTAAAAAGTGAAAGTTTGATTTATGATTATTATTCTGTCCCATTACTTTTGGTCCCTTAACAAGTGGGAGGCACATATGCAAACTGTTGTAATTCCTACACTGTTCACCTGATTTGGAAGTAAATACCCTCAAGTTAAAGCTGATAGTCTGCTGTTAAAGGACATCTTGTTCGTTTCATTTCAAATCCATTGTGGTGGTGTATAGAGCCAAAAATGTTAGAATTGTGTCGATGTCCCAATATTTATGAACCTGACTGTGTGTGTATATATATGTATATATATATATAATTAGTTTAGCTTATTGGAAAAAAAAAAGACATATACCTCCTTGAATTTCATCCTTTTAAAAACTTCTACCTTCAGGGCGTGTAGTGCTTAGCAATCCTGTCGCTGGCAGCAACCCGCCACCAGCAGGATCAGTAAAGCGCACACACCACAGTGACGCTCCCTAACTGGCTAATACACTGCACTATCACGCTCACCATCAGGATCAACAGAGTGACAGTTTCAATTGTAAGAGACCAAAGAGAGAATCAAATGAAAAATCCTTAGGAGTCCAAAGTCTTTATTGCTCATCTGGTTACAACAAGCAGGGCAAAAGACAGTCAACACACTTCAGGGGCCACACAATCAACCCTTATCAGACTTGGAGGGAAAGTTTACAATAACTTACATAAAAAGGTGATAAAGCTGAATTTCCACAAAAAATACACCATTTTTCATATATGTTATGTTAAACTTCTCCAGTCCTAATAAAGGGGTATTGTGTGGCCCCCGAAAATGCATTGGATTTCTTTTGCCCTGCTTGTAACCAGTAGAACAATAAAGACTATGGAAACCTAGGGCTTTTTCCTATGGCGCTCTCTTTGACCTATTACACTTGGTTTTCTCAGGTCGGGTGAGTGTCTTCTCCCCAGCGGAGGGGGGAGGGAGGGAGGTTGGGGGTCCCTGGCTTTGTGGTGAGCTGCTGATTACAGGTTAGTTGGGCTCAAGTAATAACTTTGTCTGCATTTTGATAACCTGTGAAAATTTGTCCAGTGCCCCTCTACCTCCTGACCTTGCTTGTTTCAGCCAGTAAGGCAGTGATGCTGTAGGAGAAAAATCAAAACGGAATTTAAAAAGGCAAGGGGAAGTTAGTCTTGTGCCTCTCCTCCTCCCTTTTCCCAAACACACCCTATTTCTTGATGGGTGCTGCTCAGGAGCTGACTTAGAACATGGAGGTTAGAGAGAGGATGGTGAGCTCCTCTTTTTTTCCTTTCACCAGGTTGCATTAAGGGGATCCAGCACAATTAGTGAGCAGACTTTAGTTTCTCTCAAATTGGTCTATTCTGATCAGTGCATCCCATTCTAAAAGACTTCTATGTGGGAAAGGAAGGCAGTCACACTCACTGACACCTTCACTGTCCATCTCTGCTTTGTGGAAAGTTTAGAAGGACACTGCAATAGTGTTAGAGATAGTTGTAAAATCAGTTCCACTTGATATCACTAATAGAAAAGTTACTTACCGCATCTTGTTAATTATTCAGCATTACTTTTCCTAATAGCAGTGTGAATATCCTAAATTCCTACTTACATAAACTTGTGTTGTTGTACACAAAATGGCCGTTCCTTCAAACACAACGGCTTACGCCTGCAGACCAGATGCTGTTGTACCTCTGCCCTCAATCATTAAGAGGTTTATATCCTCAGTACATGCTGGCTATCACTGGCTGTTTTGCTCTCAGCATGACACTAAACCCATAATCAAAGAAGGGGTGGTGGGGTTGACCGTGTGCTGCGTGGTGGGCAACGCTTGCTAATAGTTTTGTCTGTGGTGCCTCCAACAGGTTGGGAAAGTTACCGGTATTTAAGGTTTGTACACTGCTGACACTGCCTGCACCGCCTCTGTGTTTGTGTTCACCGCTTGGCCTTGCGACCTTTGCCGACTCTTGATTTTCATTTCACCCCATCCCACTCCCAACCATATTGTCCAGACCTCCCCTTCCTACCATCTGCACCCAGCACCAAATCTGCATCCCATCAGCACTATCCTGAACCATAGCAATAAACACTCTTGAGGAACTGATCCATGTCCATATATAAAAGATTGATGGGGATAGCTACAGGGACTTTCTTTACCATAAATCATTTACTAATGGAACCACTTAGTTCCCTCCTTGGGCTTATGGGAGCTCTTCTCCCTTTTTTTTTTTTTTTTTTTGAGAGGTTATCACTATACATCTTATTCTTTTAACTGCTCTGGTTACTGCATTACATATTGACGCTTACTGTATAAAGCAGAGCCATCAAACGAGAGGCTATATCATAGCAGTGAAGATTGAGTTAGGAGCTGCTGTCTGATTGGCTGCTGTGGATATTGTTCTTTACACTACCTTACTGTCTAAGCCAATGTGCTCTGTACTCTTTGCTCTGTCATTTTATTAAGACCCTGTCACCACACTCTTCAAAAAGTTTCCCATAAGAATTATATGTGCATTGTACATATTTTAGGCGTGTTATTTACCTGTAAAAGCATTCCTTGTGTAGATATCCATTAGCACTGAGATTGCTGCTGGTCATTGCCATCATGAATGTGATGCAGCCTCAGCAGACCCGGAGCTATCACTCAAGTGACATTCTATAGCAGGGATTCCCAACCAGGGTTCCTCCAGAGGTTGTTAGGGGTTCCTTAACCCGTATGCGCCAAGAGTACTCAAATACGTGGCCTCTTGGCGGGTGAGCCTTGACACCGAGAGGCCACATATTTGCATACCCGAATATAAATAAACCTGTTCTGAGGTTTATTTATAACTGCGTGCTCCAGGCACAGTTACCGGGCCTAACGGATCTTTTTAGCTATCTGTAAGAGTTTAGTTCTTCCCAATGTCCACAAGTGTAAGGAGCATTCTTCCCGCTGACCATGAACACTCATGTATCTTGAGTTGTAGAAGTCGTTATTTTTAGCAGGGGGTTCTCTGAGACCAGAAAGTTTCAACGGTTCCTCCATGTCAAAAACTTTGAAAAAGGCTGCTCTATAGTATTCCCTTTCAGTCCTCCATCAGAGCTACATAAAAACTTATGTAGGAAAATGAATGGAGAGGCGAAGGAGCTGGGTCAGCACATACAGTAATTAGACACACTCAGCAGAGAGGGCTATCATGTGTTAGGAGAGATGGAGATGGGGCTGTGCTTGGAAACTGACTCTGAAATTTGGAAAGAAGTCATACTTTCTAGTAAGTTCATATTGTGTGTGGAAAAAAATGAATTTATACGATGGAAAATTGCAGTTAGGAACTCTTTAAAATACAAATTGTTTTCTGAACTTTTACCTACAATTTTTGAAGTTGGTGACAGGGTCTCTTTAAAGGGCAACTCCAGATAGGAGGGGTCTACAGGCTGTGTAGAGTGTAAATCGCACATCCACATCTCCCATGATCCTATGGTAAAAGGAACTTGTCAGGACAGAAATGCTGGAATTGCTGTCATAGTTATCCTTTACTGCTTTCAGTCACTGACCTGAGACATTTATGCAGGCTAGGAGTCTCCAATTCACTGGCTGCATATTTATTCTGGATGATGACAGCCCTGATACTTTATTAAAGGACAAGTTCACTTTTACAAAATAAATAATGCACATTTTTTGCAGGTAAAAAATATGCATTTATAATTTTTTTTTTTTTTTTTGTTGTTGTTGGGGACCCTTAAAGCATTTCACTCATGATCAGCAGATTGTGGGTTTAATGCCGCAGTCCCACAGACTGTGTATTTGTCTGCCCATACCTCCAATATAAGCAGGCAGTTACACACTGACAAGAAGCTCAATGAAGTACCTAGAGTGCTCAGCAATGCTCTGGTAGTTCATTGAGAACTATAAGCCAGCCGCCGCAAAAGCTGTCAGAACTTGTAGTTCTTCTGTTCACAGAACACTGTGAATGAATGAATGACGCATTTTTTTTTATAGATTGTGACAGTGAGTGGGGGGGAAGATGCCCTTACTCGCTATCAAAATGGGGACTCGGGAAGGGGGGGGGGGGTATGGGGGCCAGTGCATTTGTAACATGTTACACCCTGAATATGAGTGTAACCTGTTACAAAAGGTGAACTCATCCTTTAAAAAGATATTGGTGAGAGTCCAATATTTCTTTTGTGACAAGTGTGCTAGTACGTCCCTGTCCCAGACTTCGAAAACCACAGGCCTACTCCTCACTCTTGCCTGCACACACTTATGGGGCCATTTGGTTTCTGTTTCAATATTTTTATTGAATTTTCAGAGAAATATAACAAAGAAAACACCCACTCAGTGGCCTAAGGCAGAAGTATGGTCATTTTAACACTTGGGATACATAAGCACAGACCTATGGATCAGGCCAAATAAAGTATCAAATAGCATCGTTTACCCTAGGTTCACATCTGTGCGGGTGGCGCCGCTGCAGATCTGTGCAGCCGCACCACCCGCACAGAGAAATGCGGAGCCGCGGGCGGGTGTCATTAGATCTGATGGCACACCGCCTGCACTGGAAAACGCAACCGTACTGGGAACCGAGGTTCCCGTGCGGGCTGCGTTTTCCAAAGAAGTGCAGGGACTTCTTTCCCTGTGTGTCACAGGCACGGGAGTCCATTCAAATGAATGGGCTCTCGTGCCCGTGCAAAACGTGGCCCACAAGGCCGCATAGATGTGAACTGGGGGTGAAGCATGGGCTCACTCAGTACTCCCCTGCACATGCTCAGTACTCCCCTGCACATGCTCAGTACTCCCCTGCACATGCTCAGTACTCCCCAGCACAGGCTCAGTACTCCCCAGCACAGGCTCAGTACTCCCCAGCACAGGCTCAGTACTCCCCAGCACAGGCTCAGTACTCCCCAGCACAGGCTCAGTACTCCCCAGCACAGGCTCAGTACTCCCCTGCACACATGTATTGATGGTATAAGGTGTCACATCCTTCATTTTTGGTGGCACACGGCTTTGGATATGCTGCACCCTGGTGGTAGAGCGGGATTTAGTTTGCATGGTAGTTGGCTGGTATTCACCTCACATCTAGACACTCGCACAGGTGTATTTGAATGTAACTGGTACACTAGTAATACCATATGGACAGCATTGCTCAAAACTAGTGCACAGACTATACCATTAAAGAGGCAAGAGCCAGCCAATTCAATTCTTCACATACTTTGTAAATGGAAAGCCTTTTCATGGTTGGCTGGTAAAGCACCTTTTCTGTACAAGTGTCTGTGCACCAGTTTTATTCATTTTTCCAATTTTGTTTGCATATGTCTGTTTTTAATATATTTATTTTATCATTTATGACTTTTATTGTTATGCTGTACATGCAAGCACAAACTTTTTTTGTGTTTGTAGTCTGTAATAGTAGTTAGCCACATTCAACTGGACTTGTTTTGTAATGTTGAAGATATTTCATAGCTTCTCCAAAAGCTGCTTCTTTAGTTCTAATGAGTGTCAGGAGCTTACCCCATGACTTATGTCCACACAGGTAGAATAGACACCTTAATCCAATCACCATGGAATGTATAAAAAATGTTTTTTGACAACCGGTGATTTGACAACCGTTAACATCTTTAGCCATGTAAATTTAGGAATGACCACCCAAGAAGACCTCCTGACACCAAGGATGGGAATAAGATAGTTCCACAACTTAAACATCTCTCACCTTGCTCTTGGACACTCGACATCTACACATTCCATGTTGATTGGATTAAGGTGTCTGTGCTCCTTGTGTGGATGTCAATGCTGGAGTGTCTTCTCAGAATTTATTAGGACTGGTGGCTTGGCGAAGCTACAAATAGAAAGTGACTAACTACTACTAGACACACACATGACCTGGATAAATGAGCCTTCACGTAGTTCAAAATGTTTTATCTCTTAACTACTTTAACTACACGGTCTAACAGGTGTTAACATGATAATATAGCCGATATACATGAGATCAGTCCTTTAAAAACTAATATTTTGGTTTATAGTAGAGGCTGGACAGTTGACAACCCCCCCCCCCCCCCAACATTCTTCTATGTGTCACGTGGACTCTGATTGTGAAATCTTTAGATATTTCTGAGTTCCCAGGTGTAGCCATGATGAGGGGCTTCCACTTTTCCTGCAGAGATTTTCTATGTATTTATTATAATGGAGAATGTCACAAGAGGAATCGGAACACACAAAGGTGGGAGGAGATTGCCAATGTGGACAGGAACAGAATCTGGAATTAAGCCAGGGAGATCTCACTTTTGGAGTATCCAATACAAATTAAGCCAGGGGCTGTGTCAGCCCACCAGACTGCACCTATAACTACGGTAAAATATCACATTTGGGTAGACTTGACTCTTTAAGAGAGCCATCTTGTTGAGGAGAACCAGCATTCAGTATCTCAGCTTAGGAACTTGCAACAACCCTAGTTCACTTTTTGAAAAATAGTAACTTTTCCTACAAAATGGCCAACTCCTTTGATGACAGGTATTTTTTAAACAAATAATTTATTTGCTGGCTGTGAATTGAAGGCATACAATTATTACGAATAATAACAAATCTGAAATGAGAGAAGTCAACAATTATGTGTTCAGGCCCTGAATATTAGAAGGGAAAGGTCATAAAAGACTTTTGTGGGTCCTTTTACAGAACACATTTTGGCTAAATACCTTTTAAGCAAGATTGAAGTTATTTTACTAGCAACACTGATTTTATTTTTCAAAATGGAACTCCAAGCAGAATAGTTTTCCTTTAGATAGAGTGAGTTGGTTACCATCTCCTGTAAGAGGTGTCACCATTGGGAAGAATTACAAGAAAGGAAGTGGAAAAATCTCAAAGTTGATAGTCACAGGAACAGGAGGTGAAAGGAAATACCCTAAGAGTTCACCTGTGC